CCCCCCCCCGTAAGCCCACTTCCCGCACCTGGGCTGAGGCGATAGCCACGGAAGGTCCAGTTGAAGGCCTCAGGCGCGGGGTTAGCGGACACGGACACAGGCAGCAGTGCCTCGCCCTGCTCCACCGAGGTCACCACCAGCACTTGCTCCCCCAGGAACTCCGGAGGGTCTTCAGAGGGGTTACCACAGGGAGTCAAGCGTGTTAAGGGCGGAGCCAGGGGAAGAGTTGAGGTCAGGGAAAAATTCAAGGGCCAAAGGGTCGAGGTCACAACTAGGACTAAAGTTGTGGACAAGGTAACAGTGTCTGAGCTGAGCTCAGAAGTAAGGTTCGGGACGGAAATTAAGATCCAATTTAGAAAAAAGATAGGGGGCCAAGGTTTGGTTTAAGGACGGAGGAAAGGGTCAAAGTAGGGATCAGGGTCATCACAGAAGGCAAAGTAAGATGAGATGAAGCAGGATAGGTGTTCAAGCAGGGTCAGGAGAAGCAGTAGGAAAGTGTCAAGATTCAAAAAAAATGATTCAAGACGGGTCAAGGACGTGTCAGAGCGAAGACAAGTAGTTTAGTAGGGGGGGATGAAAAGGGGTTCGGGTCGGCGCACATACATAGCACGTTGAAGCGGTAGAAGGAGCTCACGGTTTCGCGGAGCTCCGGGCTGTGGGCTCGGCAGGTCACGCGATGGCCGTGATCGAGGGATGACACCCGAAGAAAAACACTCCTGGACGCAGCAGAGCCTTTGAACTGGGCGCTCTGCGGCGGTGCGGCCGAGTCTTCCAGCCTGCGCTCCAGGCAGGGAATCGGGTTGGGCAAGGGGCGGGGAGTGGGCGTGACCAGAACGGAGAGGGCGGGGCCTCGTGCACACACCTCTCTCCCTCCTTGTCCCAGGACAGGTTGACTGGCGGATTGCTGCTCACGCTGATGCAAGTCAAGTTTAAGGCGTCCCCCGGACGCAGCGCTGACGAATTGGCCAGGATCGTCAAGTTGGTTGGGGGAACTTAGAGAGCAGGTCGGAGGAAAGCGGCTCAGAAGTGAGCAGACCTGGTCCAGTTCCCAGGCCTCGCCCGCCCCGCCCCGCGTGGGACCTCACACAGCACCACGATCTGCGTGGACGCGCTCAGCTGGCCCGCCTTGCATGAGAACTTGGCCTTGTTGTCCGGCGGGCCTAGGACCAGCACCAGCTCGCGGGAGAAGATGCTCCCCGACTTCTCCAGACTTCCCAGCTGCACCCGCCGTGGCTCCTGGGGCTGCCGCGGCTCCATCACGGTGCGCGAGTCCTGAGGACCGGACCAAGCTGGGGGGACGGGGAGCCTCACACTCCCTACCCAGCTCGGAGATGCCCCCAGGGAGGCGGAAAGCACCCCTATCAGCCGGTACCCCTACCGGTAAAGGAGTGCGACTGGAATTGAGCATCCCCAGCCCGAGGCTTTCCCGCCTCCCTTGGGCCCCCGAGACCCGGGACTCCTGCTAACCCTGGCCTCCAAATCTGTAACTGAGCTATCTGTCAAATACTATATGCCAGTAAACTCCCTTGAAATCCCCAAACCTTGCACAGAATTCCTTCTTTTTAAATTTTATGCTTAGTTCTTCTTGTTCTTAAAAATTCCCACTTTCCCCAAAGGAAATTTTTGAGGAACCTTTCCCTTAATTCGCTTAATTTCAGTGGTATCTCTTCACAGGTTTCTGGATCCTTCCCCCACAGTCCCTTATGCGCCTAATCTTTTACTAGACTCCTTTGTGTTGCCCAAATGATAGGCACTGTCTCAGGATTCTTTCCAATTAAAATGTAATTCCATTGTCATGACTATAATCCCACCGCAGAATTTCCAGTAACTCCCTGACTTCTCAAAATTTCCCCAGAATTCTGTCAAATTTTCTTTGATTTTAAGGGAATTTCACTTTCTAATGAATTTCAAGAATTCAGTTTAATATTAATAGGTTTTCAATATTTTCTGGAATTACATGTCTTTCCTCCAAAATATCTAGCTTCCGGAGGTTATAACCTCTCCCTGAAATTCTTGTCACTTCCCCTGGATTCTGAGATTTTTCACCAGAATTTCCTTTAAGTAGAAAATAATTCCCCTACCTGTATAATTCCCAACCTTGATCCAGAATGCCTTCTATTATTTAGGAATTGTGTTCCCAGAATTCCTAGAAATGTCCTAGGATTCCATGTAATTCTCATGGCATTTGTGTCTTTTCCAATTCCCTTCCAAAATTCAGAATCTCCAGTATTTTTCAAGAAAAGTGTGTCTTCCCAAGATTCTGAAGGAGAGGAGAACCTTCTCCTTCCCTCACATTTCTGGCCACCCCACCCCACAACCCTTGCCTGGCACCAACCTTGTACCAGATGAGGGAAGGGTCTGGGTTGCCCCCAATGGCCAAACACACCAGCCTCACCCGGGTCCCAGTCCGGAAATGTTGACCCTCTTGGGGTCCTTCAATCCACAGTTTCTGGGCAGGATCTGGGAGGAGAGGTGAAAATAATACTCTGGGATGTGGCCTGGGTGAGGTGATCTCAGGGGCCTGTGGCATTCCTGGGACAGGGTGGAGGCTCACGTTTCACATTCAAGGTGAGAGACTTCTTGAAGGTCTCCTTGGTGAAGGCCTCACTGAAGGCTTCGCAGGTGAGGGTCAGGCCATTGTCTTCTCGACGCAACAGCAAGGTCAGATTGGACATGGAGATGTGACCACCATGCAGGCCCTAGCAGGGAGCAAGCTTCAGACTTGGGGACTGAGGTGCCTCCATTATTCTACCAGAGGCCTGAGTCCACCCTAGACCCCAGCAAGGACACAGGAAGCATCTCTACCTCCTCATCTCCCAGAGCCAGAGTTCTCTTCAGTGCTCCTCAAGGACCAAGACCTCCAGGCTGCCTGACCCCCTCTCCCAGTTCCAGTTTTCATGCCCTCAGGCCCTTTCTGCCTTGGACCCGGGGGCCTGGACCCCTCCTCACATCCATGACTGTCTCCTCCGTGGGCTGCAGCTGCCGCCCACCCAGCCACCATCGCAACAGGACCGGCGGGCGACTGGACTTTGTGAGGCAGCAGAGAGTCACATTCTTATTCTCAGACTGTGATACAGATCCCAAGATGACAACAGCACTGGGAGGAACTGCAGGACAGATGGACAGAGGAGAGACACGCAGCTGGGCAAGGGTCCTCAATTTTACCCCAGACAGACAGAGAGAGGATGGGGAACAAATGATGTCTTTGACATCAGGTAGGCATGATTGGGGGGCACAGGAGTTGACAGATGGGCAGCTGACATCAGAACTCACAGGTGACCTGCAGTGTGATGCTTCGTTCCTGGGTCCCTACAGATACACTGTTGTAGGCTTCACAGCTGATTCGAGCTCCATGGTCTTCTGGCCGCACAGTCATCGTGAGTACACTGCGGGCTGTGGCGTGGGTGAGCTCTGTGCCCCATGCTATGGCCACAGGCTGGCCATTCTGGAGACAAGGACAGGCCTAGACAGCTCAGAGCCAGCTCCTGGCCCCTGCCTTCCCCCTACCCCACACCTGTGTCTGTCCTCACCTTCAGCCACTGCAGTGTGGCTGGTGGGTTTCCCCCTCGGGCTGTGCATGGCAGCTCCAAGTTCTGTCCTGCCCTAACGAGCCCTTCATTCAGGCCTGGCCATTCGATGACAGGAGGTCCTGGGGGAACTGGGGAGCAGCAATCACTCAATAGGCCTGGGGAGCCCATGCATTCTTTCTAGTCACTATGGCCTGCCTCAACACAGGGTCTCGTAGTTTAGGCTTGCCTTGAACTCACTATGTAGCCCAGGCTGGACTGGAACTCGTGGCAATCCTCCTGCCTCAGCCTCCTGAGTGCAAAGATTACAGATGTACACCACCATGCCTGACACTCCATGGTTTTTCTTTGTCTGAATTTTCAATAATTCCTGTGATCCCTCAGGACTCTCAGATTTTGCTTTCCACCCTCAGTGTCCATGATAGCTCAGCTGTCCACTTACACAAAACATTCATGGTGATTGAGGCCTTGATGGGGCTGACCAAAGCTGGACTGTATCCCTCGCAGATTAGTAACTGCCCATTATCCGAGCTCTGAGGTGTCACCCTGGGATGGGAAATTGGGGTTCTAGAATCAGAGTCATTATCTGAAATTTAAGGAGGTTCAGTCAAGAGGTAGGATCCTAGGTCCCCACGCCTGGTCTCTGTCTCCGTACTGGATTCTTCTCAGATCTAGAGCTCCAAGGGAGAGATTCAGGGCTTTGACAGTAAGAATTCAGGTTTCAGGGCTCCACGCCTGGTCCAAATCTTTATGTCTGATACCCAAGAACTGGGATTCCCATGAAATATTTTGAGTGTCCAAGTGAAGAATTAGGTTTCCCCCAGAAAAGAAATAGGCCCCAGATACTCATCCCAACCCTAGTTCCATGCTTGAATTCCTGAAATGTGGGACTCTCAAGGGTCAGGCTCAAGGGAGAGGATGTCCCCAACCTGCACACCTGGCTGTGGCCTCTGTGATGAAGAGTTTCTCCTGGGATCCTTCGCTCACGTCGACAGATATGCTGGATACTGTTCGTCCACCTTGGGACAACAAGAAGGCTGGAAAGGTGCTGGTTTCCCCTAAGATAGAGTCTGGAAAGCATAGCCTGGAAGTCTTGGAGTGGATACGATGCCCCTTTCTCCTGGGGGTGCCAGCTATGTCTCCTGCCTGCCTCACCCAGGACTCCCTGAATACCAGAGTCCTCAGGGCAGGGTCCTGTGTCTCTCCCTTCTCCTCCCCTGCTGGCTGTATCCAGCACTCCCTCACCTCCACTTATCATTTGCACCCTGCCATCACCACCTGTATCTCACCTGAGCCTCAGCTTGTCCAGGGCCCCAGACTAACAGTACTGCATCCTCCTGGATGCTTCCCCTGACATCTCCTCCCATCCTGCAGGTCCCACACTGCCTCAGCAACTCCCAGGTCTGTGAGGGCACCGGTCAGGAACACACCCCATCCCCACTCCAGGGTGTCACACTGCCTTCCTCGCTTCACGCACACTCACTCTGGAGGAAGGCGATGTCAGGTGCTGGCTTTGCATCCCCAGACACACAGCTGATCTCATATTCCTGCCCAGCTACCCAGGTGACTGTGGTCCCTGCCTCAGGGGTCAGCTGAAGCACCTTGGGGGGAACTGGAGAGAAAGGATCTGGAGTAAGCCCTCACCTCTGAGAAGGACATAAAGATTTGGGTCAAGAGATGAGTCCTGTACCCAGGAAGGAGGGGGTGCGAGCCCCGACTCCTGGGTCCTGGGGTCTCTCACCCATACCCAGGATGGAGAGGATCACTCTGGGAGACACAAGTTCAGGGCCTGTCTCTGAGCGGCCAGCCTGGCACTCATACTCTGCGTCATCACTGAGGTCACATGCTTCAATGCGCAGGTGGAATTCACCTGTGAGTGGAGCCCCAAGGTCAGGACCACAGCCTCTGCTGGTAGCTCGGGGTCCCAGGCTCTGATCCCTCACCTCTAGCAGTATCTCCTTCCATGCGGTATCTCGGGAAGCCTGGGATCGCTGGGCTGGGGCCTAATAGCAGGCCATCCTTGGCCCACTGTACGGCACTGCCAGGCACGCTGATGCCACACTTCAGTTCCACAGTGGCCCCCTCCACAGCCGTCAGGTTTTCGGGTAGGGCCCAGAAGCCTCGAGGGACTGAGACAGAGATTGGCAACTGGGCCAGACCTGGGGACACGAGGGGGTCAGAGGAAGGGACGGAGAGTTTGTCTAGGGGAAACGGTGGGAAACAAGAGCCAGCAGATACTGGGTACAAGGCCTGGATTCCACTCACCTGTGATCAGCAGCCCCATGAACAGCAGGGGAGCCCTGATGGGGGTCCTCAGGGCTGCTCCAGTGCCTTGGACCACGGCTGCCACAGTGTGCATTATCTGCCACCTGCACCTGCCGCTGTCTGTCCGTGGGTCCTTCATTCTGTGTCTCTGTCTCCTTTTCTCCACCTTCCCTTTGCCCTTCCGCTTCCTCTCCCTCTCCTTATTTCTGTTTCACCCCTCCTCTGCTCTCTGTCTTAGGTTCTTCTCTGCCTCGTTCTCTTTCTCTGTTAAACACTTTCTTTCCACAAAGTCTGAGTCTGCCACCCTACCCCTGAGGTGTGTTGTCTGTCTCCCTGCTTCTCCCTATCCCTCTTCAACAGTCTTTCTCTTTCTTCTCTCCCCTACCCCTGGGCCTGCTCTACTTGAACCCCTCAGAACCCCTTAAGCTGCACTTGCTGCTTAGAGTCCAGTGGCCCCACTAACCCAGGCCAGCTGAGAGGCTGACGTGTTCAGTGGCTGCACTGAGCCACTCCTTGGACCCAGCCTGAGCTTCCCTCCCATACTGCTCCTCCCAGCCCAGCTAGAGCATGAAATCCCCTGTCAGCACATGCCAGGCATATTCTTTGGTGCCTCCCCAAGCCCCTTGACACCAGGGCCTGGGAGAGCAGGTCAGACCTGGACCATCTCCCAGTTCAGCAGGGAGAGCAGAGAGCTGGGCCGTGTGGGTGGATGGCTCCCCAGCTCTTCCCTGCCTGGATGTATGACCTGGGCAAGTCCCTTGCTTCCCTGAGGAGATATCAGCCTCAGCGACAGGGATCTTTGCTTAGAAGTGCACAAGAGTGTGTGAACCTGGGAGTGTGTGGGAGGGAGGTGAGCTATCTGTGTGCACAGAGGTGTGAGTACACCCGTGAGTGCGTGAGCATGAGGTGTGAGTGCAGTGTGATTTGTAATGCATGTGCAAAGTGAGTGTGTGTGAGAGCATCTTCAGCATGAGGGTGCAGGCAGCAAGGCACTCAGGGGTGGGAATAAAAAACAGAGTTCCAGTCTGCCAGCAGCCAGTGCAGGTGTCCTTTGACAAAGGCCATGTGAGCACCCTTCTGACCCTATTTCCATCTTCTCCATCTTTTCCTTCCTTCCTTCTCTTTTTTTAATCTTTTTATATTTATTTATTTATTTATTTATTTATTTATTTATTTATTTATTTATTTGTGGTACCGGGGCTTGAACTCAAGCCCTTATTCTTGCGAGGCAGGCAGCGGCACCATTGAGCTAAATCCCCAGCCCTCCTTCCTTCCTTCTCATCCATCTTTCTCTTCTCTTTGAGATCCCCCTCTGATCTTTAACTATTTCACTGTCTCTATACCTCTGTGTATCTGTTCTTATCTTGATCACTCCAGCTACCCCACATTCTGTCTCTTGCACACCAGGAGCTCAATAAATGTTTCTCCATCAGCCTCTGCCTGTGTCTCTTTCTCACTGACTTTCCCTAGCTTTGAGTCTTGATCCTCATTTTATAACCATACACTGCCTGGCCTGGCCTCCCACCCCAGTGCACACATACACACTCGCATGGGCTAAGCTCTTTCTGCCTGCTTATCTCCTTCAGGAATTGCAACTGTTCATTTTCTCCCCCTTCCTGAGACCCCCTTTCCTGGTTCTCCTCCAGGAAAAAGATGAAGCATCTGGCCCAAGCCTCGGGAGCTCCACCCTTGACACTCCTCTACAAATCCCCCCAGCCCCACGCAGTCCCTTTCCCAACTGCCCCCTCACCTCCTGGGATATCCGCTGGAGACAGTCCTGGGGGGTTGTCATGGGACCCTTACCAGATGGGGTCCCTGGGGGCCAGGGTGTAAAGCTGTCAGTTGTAGGGACCTTTAATTAGCACAAACCTTCCATCCTCCACCTTGGCTGTTTTCCTTCTCTGTGTGCTCCTGGGATTCAGCTCTCCATTTTTTTAAGCCTGTGGCCCCAGAGAGCCAGGAGGGGAAGCAGCGGCAGGTGTCTGGAAAAACAGCCTCATCACCTGACTTCCTCCCCAAGACACAGGAGTCCTAGACCCAAGTCCATCCTATTTCAAAATTCAAGTGCTGGGTTCACCACATAGAAGCAGAATTTCAGGACCCCAGAATTAGGACCTCAGGACCTTCTCTCAGACTCAACAATTCAAATCCCCAACCCTTCTCTCCAAGGACCCTTTAGTTCAGGTCTCCAATCCTTGGCCCTTCCCCCGGAATACACAGGATTTAGGACAGATGTTCACTGTGTGTTGATTTTCAAATCCTCCTGGGCTTGTGGGGGGGGGGATTGGTGGTTAAATCCACTGGCTCTTAGAGTTAAGACTAGATATTCTGACCCTGACCTAACAGCACCTTGCGGTAGGCCTCAAGGCACAGGGAGTTCAGATCATCAGGGTCTCAGCCAGCAGAGCTGAACGACCAGTCCCTTACATCCCTTAAAGTCTAAACCCCTGCCTTCTATGTACTAAGGCGCCCGGAACGTCTAGGCACCTCAGTGCAGACTTTCAGTTGCTGCAGGTCTGAGAACTGCAGGCCCAGGGTCCCAGACCCCCAACCCCTTCTGTAGGCTGGGGGTCCCTCCCACCTGCTTGGCCGGCTGCGCAGCGTGGGAACGCCCCAGCTGGGCTGCATGGAGCCGTCAGCACAAGCTGCGCGATTCCCAGCCTCCCGGCCTGCGGGAGCCGGGACACCCCCGCCTTCCAGGCGTTGCCGGGCAACCAAGGCCGAGGGGCCCTATCCGCCCGTGCGGAGAGGGGCTGGGCCTGGATTGCGGGGTCCTGGGAAAGGAGGGGCTGGCTGCCCGGATTCCTAGATCTAAGGGCGTGCTACGGTTTGCGGTGGTAACTAGGCAACAGAGGGATTTTGAGGAGAATTTTTGAAAAGTGGGGAGCTGAGCCTCCTTTTCCAGGGATCCCAGGTGGATTCCGGAACCCAGGTGCCCTCTCCCCGACCCGCAATCCCAGGGGAGTTCTGAGCCCCGCCTCCCCAGGGCGCGGAAACTGGGGAGGCTCCAGGGGCTCCCATTTATAGTTCTGTTTCCACTCAGCGCGGTCCCTCCAGGACCCGGGCTGAGCCACTTTCTTCCATTCTCTCGCCACTCCCTCCTTCTCACCCCCAGCCCCCATCCCCACCCCGACGGGGCGCAGGTGTCCAGCGCAGGCAGGACCCCCTCTCTGGATCCAGGTGTTCCGGCTCCCAGACCCCAAGTGGGCTGGGGCGCCCGCCCGCTGGGCAACCCCAGGCCTGCGCGCCCCATTCATCCGAGTTTCTCAATGGGAAGAGGGCGGGTCTCTCAGGGGCGGGCCAGGGCGGGGCGAGCGGGATCCGGCTCCCTCCACACACCCCACACCCCGGGGTCTGGAACCGACCGAAGGTGCGGAGCTGGCAGGCGTTTCAGAGCACCGGAGGCTTCGGAGGTGTAGACTTCGGGGACCCGGGGCAGAGACCAGGGTCTGAAGCTTCTGCGCTCGCAGAGTGGGGCGTGGAAAGGGTTCCGATCCAGGGTGGTGAGAGGTGTGCAGCCCAGCGAGAAGTTGGAGGGAAGTCAGTGCAGCCCCAAGTCTAGCGAACCTTGGGACACACACTGAGGATGCTGGTCGCCGCCCTCCTCATCCTCCTCTTCTGCTACAGGGGGCGTGCAGGTACCGGAGGGGGAGCAGACGGACACGTTTGCTGGCCTCGGCTTTACCAGGGGAACGGACTGCTGCGTCTAAGCGGGAGGGCCCCGAGTTTCTGAATCTGGGAGCTGGACTCCTGGGTCCTTGAATGAGAGAGTTCTTGAATATGCAAAGCTCGGTTCTGCTGCCCCTCATTCTCCTAGGTCTGTGGCCCCATTTCCTGAAACAGCCGGAGGACCTCGTGGTGGTGCTGGGGGAGGAAGCCTGGCTGCCTTGTGCTCTGGGCTCATACAGGGGACTTGTTCAGTGGACCAAGGATGGGCTGGCTCTAGGCGGCGAAAGGGACTTGCCAGGTGAGGCTGTCCTCCGCTCAGGGAAGGGTGGCGCTGGAGTAGGTGGCTGCTGTATTTGAAGTTGGGCTGTATCCCATGTTTCTGTTGTGATATTTTCAACTTTGGGAGATCAATGGACTAAAGTAAACAATTGGGAGTGAGGTTTTTGAGCTGCTTCTTTGCGGGTGACCCGTATTGTTTGGGGATATAAATGCAGGAAAGTTCAGTAAGCCTAAGTGGACACATTGCCAAATAATTATAAACCGCCACACTAGATCATTGACAGTTTCCCAAAAGCCTCCTTATTCATTTTCCCTATCATAACCTAGAGGTAGTACCTCATGTTTGTAAAATTATTTTCTTGTTTTGCTAACTGCATGATCCCCACTTTTTCAGGGACTCTACCTTGGGAATTGATTAGAATCTCTCTGAATCCAGGGCACACTTCCCCCAACCCAGGCTTTGGTACTGGGGGCTGAACCCAGGGCCTTTGCACTGAACAAAATCCCTTGTCCTTTTAATTTTTAATTTGAAGGTATGGTCTTGATAAGTTGCCCAAGGCTGGGCTTGAATTTATGATCTCCTTGCCTCAGCTTCCCAGAGTGCTGATATTACAGTGTGTGACAGCACACCCAGCTCAGAGCACACTTTGAAACAGTATCTTCCTGTGGAATGGATGACCAGGTGAGGGCCTGGAATCATGGTGTGACTGTCTCTTCCCTGATTCCAGGGTGGTCCCGGTACTGGATATCAGGGGATGCAGTAAGCGGCCAGCATGACCTCCACATTAGGCCTGTGGAGCTCGAGGATGAGGCGTTGTATGAATGTCAGGCTACACAAGCAGGCCTCCGATCTCGACCAGCCCAATTGCACGTGCTGGGTGAGGATTCAGAACACCTGTCTCTTGGGGGCCCAGGGGGGCAGCCAGTATTACATGGGATTATCAGTTCAGGGTGCCAGGGGATGGTGGGTTGGAGCTGAGATCGGGATCTCTGGGCCCAGGATGCAGTTCTGACTATATCTCTACCCTTCAGTGCCCCCAGAAGCCCCCCAGGTGCTGGGTGGACCTTCTGTGTCTCTGGTTGCTGGAGTTCCTTCGAACCTGACCTGCCGGAGCCGTGGGAAAGCCCGCCCTAACCCAGAGCTGCTGTGGCTCCGAGATGGGGTCCAACTGGATGGGACTGCCTTCCCCCAGGTCAGGTCCAAATCCTTTTGCCAACCCCTCCCCATCCAGTGAAACTTGGGGTCTACGCTGACCACTGGTTCATCCAAAAGAGAAGGAGGCTGAGGCTCAAGGGTTGGCCCTCTTGAAATGTGATTCAGGGTGAGGGCTTTAGGGCCAGACTACTTCTGCCTCAGCCACTTGCTAGGTGATTGGTCTTCAGTATGTTATTTAACCTCTCTGTGCCTTGGTTTCCTTATCCATATAATGGGGACAATAGTAGTGTGTACTTTATAGGGTACTTCTAGGGTTAATACTTATAACTGTCTAGAAGAGTGCCTGACACATAGTCAGCACTATTATGTATAAGGGGTAGATGAAGTCATTATTGTTCATACCCTCCAGATCCTGCTGAAGGAAGGGACCACTGGGTCAGTGGAGAGCACATTATTCCTGACCCCTTCCAGCCATGATGATGGAGCTACTTTGGTCTGCAGAGCCCGGAGCCAGGCACTTCCCACCGGGAGGGACACGGCTATCACATTGACCCTACAGTGTGAGTTCAGCTGGCCTGAGGAAGAGGGGGTGGAGCCTGGACTCCTGGGTCTGAGGAAGGAGGGAATTGTGGATCAGGGGTCCCTGAGGTAAGAGGAATCCAGATCCTGGACTCCAGGACATAGATCAGGAGAGGACAAAAAGATGGCACAATGGGCCGTCTGGAGGAATGGGAGCTAGAAACCCAGACTCCTGGATCAAAGGGAGAAAGGGACTGGAGATGCAGCTTCCTGGGATGGAGGTACTGGGGAAAGGACTGCAATGGGGGTGTTTCAGGTCCCTGTAGGCCAACAGTATCGTTGTCCCCCCACCAGATCCCCCAGTGGTGACTCTGTCTGCTGAGCCACAGACTGTTCAGGAGGGAGAAAAAGTCACTTTCCTGTGTCAGGCCACAGCCCAGCCTCCTGTCACTGGCTACAGGTGAGGGCAAAGACCTCTCTACAGTCGGGAAAGGGGAAAGCACGGATTTAGAGAGGGGTGGGACAACATCAACAGCACCATCACCTCCGCAGGTGGGCGAAGGGGGGCTCCCCGGTGTTCGGGGCCCGCGGGCCAAGGTTGGAGATTGTAGCAGATGCCTCGTTCCTGACTGAACCCGTGTCCTGCGAGGTCAGCAACGCTGTGGGTAGCGCCAACCGCAGCACCGCGCTGGATGTGCTGTGTGAGCAGGGGCGGGGCCATGGGTGTGGTCAAAGTGGGGCGTGACTGGGGCGGGCTGTGTGGGGAGGGGCCCGGAATGGTTGTGATCCCAGCGTTCTAGGAGGCTGAGGCAGAAGGATCAGAAATTCAAGCCCAGCCTGGGCAATTTAGCGACTCAATGAGACCCTGTCTAAAAAAAACAGGTCTGGAGATGTAGCTCAGTGAGAAAGCCCTGAGTTCAATACCTGGTACAAACAAAAACAAATAAGAAAGAACATATGCAGTGTTTGGCTATGCAGGTTCAGTCCGAAGTGGGCCAGATGTCCGAAGGGGCTGCTGTATTTGAAATTGGACTGTGTCTGATGTTTCTGTCGTGATATTTTCAACTTCGGAAATAGATCCAGGGCCTGTAAGCATGGACAATAAGTGGGAGGAGTGTAGTGGACCAAGGACCTATGCTTGGGCCCTTGTGTTTTGTTTTGTTTTGTTTCTGAGAGGCTGATTCTTGGGTTGGGGGCTTCATTTCGTCCTCGCCACGTGACCCCTCCTCTACTTCCTCCAGTTGGGCCGATTCTGCAGGCAAAGCCAGAGGCCATATCGGTGGACATGGGGGAAGATGCCTCCTTCAGCTGTGCTTGGCGTGGGAACCCCCTCCCACGAATAACCTGGACCCGCCGCGGTGGCACACAGGTGAAACCCGATCTGGGGACTGTGGCAGTAGCTGGCAGTGGACTCAGCCTCCTGGCAAGGTCCTGCCTCTGACGCCCCTTCCCTGTCCCAGGTGCTGAGCTCCAGGCCCACGCTGCGACTTGCATCAGTGGGGCCTGAGGATGCAGGCGACTATGTGTGCAGAGCTGAGCCAGGGCGCTCTGGCCTGGGGGGTGGCGCAGCCGAGGCTCGGCTGACTGTGAACGGTGAGACTGGTAGGGTTCAGAGGTGGGGAGAGGCAACGAAGTTTAATGGGAGTGGGCTTGGCCTTGAAAGGAGCTTATAGATGGGAGTCTAGTGACTGGAGCTGGACCTGTTGAAGGCTTTGAGGGGGATCAGAGTAGTTTGAGAAGCACGGCCTGTGGCCTGGTCAGTTGGGGTTATGGAGAACCCAGGTCTTACTTTGTTCAGAATCAGCTTTGAGGAGGTTGAGCTCTCTCCTGAGTGGTTCACAATCTCCATTCCAGCTCCCCCAGTAGTAACCGCTCTGCATTCTGCACCCGCCCTCCTGACTGGCCCTGCCCGTGTCCAGTGCCTGGTGTTTGCCTCCCCTGCTCCAGAAGCAGTGGTAAGGAAAAGTCTCCCCTACCGTGAGCAGCTCAGCCATGATCCCTGACCTCCCCCTGGACCCCTGAAATGGCTCTGACTTTCTGGGCACCCTGCCAGCTCTTCCTCTCTCCCACCTCCTCAATGATCTCACTTTCCTTTTTTGTTGTTGCTGTTCTTTCCTGCCCTTAGGTCTGGTCTTGGGATGAGGGCTTCCTGGAGGCAGGGTCCAGAGGCAGGTTCCTGGTGGAGACTTTCCCAGCTCCAGAGGGTCTTGGGGGTCAGGGTCCAGGCCTGATCTCTGTGCTACACATTTCGGGGACTCAGGAGTCTGACTTTAGCAGGGGCTTCAACTGCAGTGCCCGGAACCGGCTGGGTGAGGCAGGCACTCGGGTCCACCTAGGCCGTAGAGGTGAGATACTTCCCTGAAGACCCCAAATACAGGGATTCCAAACCCCACAAATACAAGATTTCCCCTAACTGAGGCTCCCAAACTATAAGGCCCTCAAATGCAGAGACCTCAAACCTTGGCAACCTCAAAACTGTGGGTTTCTTGAATCCTGAGACCTCCCCAAACAATGCACTGCCTCAAATATAGAATCCTAAACTGAAAGACCCCTAACATTTGGGGACCCCAAAGAAAGCAACCTATAAATATGGGAAGCTACAAAGTAAAAGTCTCCTCAAGTTCTAAGATTCCCTAAAGTCAGGGGGTTTAAGCTTCCATTTTCTCTCACTTGTGGAGCCCCAAATTCATGGAGCCTTAAACCACAGACAGAATGAAAAACCTTGGGACTCCTCTAATTGGTGAACTTGTGAGCCCATGAATTACCAAACCCAAGCCTAGAGTCTCTCCCACTTATGGCTGAGCCTTCTCAGGATTCTCCTTCTACTTCCTACAGACTTGCTTCCCACTGTGCGGATTGTGGCTGGAGTAGCAGCCGCAGCCACGACTCTTCTTATGATCATCACCGGGGTGGCTCTCTGCTGCTGGCGCCACAGCAAGTGTCAGTGCCTAAGCCCTGCCTCTGCCCCCTGTTCACAAACCCCAACCCTCCAGCCCCACATGCCTCACCCACTGACTGCTGGCGTTGGGGCACGGCTCCAGTCCAGGCTCTAGCTGTGCACAGGGCTGGACTCACCTTTGGGCCCTAGCTCCCTCATCAGCTTTAACTCAGCCTTTTCAAGGTCATCCACACACACTCCCGGGTTCTTATTGGTTCCCAGATTCCCTACCGATTGGCTCAGTCCTCCCTCTTCCCTATTATTGGTCTCCACAAAACTGTGACCCTGCCCATTTGCTTACCTCCACCTCTGTCTGGGCCTCAGCCTCTTTCTCCAAGCAAAAGAACATGGTGCGAATCCCAGGAAGTAGTGATGCCTCCAGTTCACGGGGCCCTGGGGAAGAGGAAACAGGCAGCAGTGAGGATCGGGTAAGATGCCAGGGCCCCCAGACCCAATAATATCCTAGTCTAACTGTACCCACAAACTCAAATATCTCCCTCAAATATTCCCCAAGTCCACATGTGCCCCAACCACGGATTCCTTAGACCCAATATGTCTCCACCTCCCTCTTGTTTCCTGAGTCCAGACCCCAGCCCAGGTACTCCCAGGGATCCCTCCAGCCTCTAGTGCCAGGCTGAAGGTCCTTAGTGTCTGACCCTGGGGCAAAAGGATCATCTGACAATTCCTTCTCACGGTGTTCTCTACACAGGGTCCCATTGCGCCCAGTGACCACAGTGACCTGGTTTTGGATGAGAAAGAGGCTCTGGAGACCAAGGTGAGTGTTGAGATGCGAGGGTCCCTTCATTGTGTCTCTAACTCTCTGCTCCTCCTTTTTTATTATGCTGCCCGGAAGAAGTAGGACCTAACCCCTTTCCTGCACCCTTTCCTGCACCCAAGCCATCTCATCCAGCTCCATCACAGTCATATTTCAGGCCTCATGTTTATATCCCTTCCCTGCTCCTGCTGGAAGTCCCATACTGGCTTTGTCTCCCCAGGCCTGTTCCTTTTTTGGAGTCCCCACCTTGATACAGCCCTTGATATCAGTCCTTTTTCCTCTGCACTTGGCCTGAAACCCTCCCTTCTCAAATCTATCTAATTCCCTTCTTTATTCTTCCAGTCTCAGCCCAGAATTTGCTTGTTCTAGGGAACCTACGCCTCCCTCATAAGGGCCCCATTATTCTGCCTGTGTTTTGCCCATCGGAGCCACAACTACTCTGACCTTGGCTTCTCCATCACAGCATGACCACTGTTCTGGGAGTTCCCATACAGCCCCAGTCACTGCTGTGCAATCCTCAGTCACAGAGCTGACCCCTCTGGACTTTGTCTGATCATTTTGCTCTTGGCCTGGGGTCAAGGGCAGCCTAGTGAAACATCTCCAGCAGTGCACAGGGTGTGATGTGGAATCAAAGCTAGGGGCTGTTAGTCAGATAGATGAATCTCTCTCCTTACTTCTGCATCCCCTCCCCTCAGCAAACCTATATCCCTCTGTCTCTGTCTTGCTCTCCTTTTGTCTCTATGTCTGCCTATTTTCTCCTTTCCCTTTTTCTTTTGTGGCTGTCTCTCTCTCTTTTTTTTTTTTTTTGCCAGAGATCAAACTCGGGTCCTTGGTCCTTTCAAGGCAGGCACCGGAACCACTGAGCTAAATCCCTGGCCCCTGTGGCTGTTTTTCTGTCTCACTTTGTCTCTCTGCTAGTCTATGTGTTTGTCTGTCTCTGTGTCTCTGTTCCCATTTCTGTCTTTTTGTCCCAGGTCTGGCTTTTTCACAGTGTGAATCTCTATCTTCACCTCCTCGTACTGTTACTTACCTCACTAAGTCCTCCTTGTCCCCTCAGGATCCAACCAATGGTTACTACAAGGTTCGAGGGGTCAGTGTGAGCCTGAGCCTTGGCGAAGCTCCTGGAGGAGGACTCTTCCTGCCACCCCCATCTCCCCTTAGACTTCCAGGGACCCCTACTTTCTATGACTTCAATCCACACCTGGACATGGTGCCCCCCTGCAGACTGTATAGAGCCCGAGCAGGTTATCTCACTACACCTCATCCTCGAGCTTTTACCAGCTACATCAAACCCACATCCTTTGGACCCCCAGATTTAACCTCTGGAACTCCCCTCTTCCCATATGCTGCCTTCCCCACGCCCACCCACCAGCGACTCCAGACTCATGTGTGACAACTCTCCAACTGAAGAGTCCTGGGATCTTCAACTTGCCATAATGGATTGTTCTGGATTCTGAGGTCCCAGAACGAGTTGACACTCTTACTCCTCCAAAACTGAACATTGAATGAGACAGGAGGGAAAGAGCATTACAATTTTTAAAATTTTTTTAGCATCAGGGATCAAACTCAGGGCCTTGCACTTGCAAGGCTTGCAGCAGAACCATTGAGCTAAATCCCCGGCCCGCTAGCATTACAACTGTTAGGATCATTGATACATAGTTGGCTCAGCCAAAGGGGATGTCTCAAGTGGGCTATGGTCTCCATGTCCATCTCTTCTCCTGTGTAAAAGTCATTTAAGTTGGTGGATAGGCCTTTGCAGAGAGCTGAGGCCAGGGAGTGGCAGGAGTAAGGAAAGGGGGTGGAAGTCATTTCTAGCTATCGAGGAAAGGTATTTCAAGATGACCTCCAGCACTGATAAGGAAAGTAGTATGGGGCAGATCAAAATGAAAGGTATAACAGGTCCCACCTTGTTCTGGGTTTCCTTGACGGGCACTTCATTTGGCCGATGAAAGTGCTGCCAAGATGACTGGTCACTCTCTGAGAACCTAATATGGCCACCATCTTGATTCCATCTACCTTCCTTCAAGACTCAGAAAGAATTAGACCGAAAGAGTGGGGATAAAGTGAGAACTATCACTATGGAGGTTAAAGGGAAACTGGGGGTAAGAATATTTATGTTTAATTAAATAACGCCAGAGAGGCAAACATGTCTTGGGTATTCTCCTGGTATTATGACTTTCCTTCAAGAAAGAGGCCCACTGGCCTGTCTCAAAGTACTTCCTCTAGTAGCCTTCGCTTATGGAGTGATTGTAGGGACAAGACCCTAGGTCACCTCTCAGCTCCTTGGCAATTGTTTAGCACTGTAGGCTCTTCTAATATCCATCTACACAAGCATATACATATAGAGCTGAAAATGAAAGAGAAGTCCCTGAAGATGTGTTCCCATGAGACACACTTGTAGAGGTCCACAGAGATGCACACACATGCACGCACACACAATAAGGCTGCCCCCTTTGGCGAGGGAAAATAGAATCCTATACTGTTTTGAAGGGACAAAGCAGTGAGCTCTGAAGGGGAGTTGAGTAGTAGACCAGGAGCAGCAAAATGGAAATCCTCTGATCCTTAAGTGAGGATGGGGGTGGATGGTAACTTTTTTCTGAGGCTCTGTGTCCTTGATAGAGATGATTTAGGTGACTGACTTTGATCATCCTTAAAGAAAGGGACTGGGGACTTCGGTTCATGGATCCTTGAGCCAAGAGTTAAAGATCCAGACACCTGGGACCAGTGGAAAGCAGAACAAGAAGACCGAACTCTCCTCCGGTCTGAGGGAGAAAGGGTGGAGCCTTGGCCTCGAGGGCTAAGACTGGATCTGAGGGAGCGGGGTACTGGGTCTTACTTGCTGTGTTCTTGATTGGGGAAAAGTTTGGGCGCCTGTATTTTTTGGGTCTCAAGAGAGAGATTTTTGGGCCGGGGATTTAGTTCAGTGGTTGTGGCACCTGCTTCGCAAGCGCAAGGACCCGAATTCACTTCCAGGTACCCCCCCAAAAAAAAAAGGTATTTTCTTCTTTTTTGAGGGGAGCGGGTTTCCGAGGCTGGCGTGCCTGGAGGGAGGACAAAAGGCGACGGTGGGTGTCTGAGTCTAAAGGGAGAGAGGGTTGGGGTTGGAGTCCTGAAGTTAGACTCAAAATCTAAATCGGCAGAACCCAAGACCCAGTCTCAAGGCTTGGCCTTGGCCTGGGATGGGCCGCCTGGACTCTCTCGGGGCGGGGACCTGGCGCAGATTCCCACCCGGGGTTCCAGAGCCGCTCGGCTCTGTGCAGAGCTGCCACGCTATTGTCCTGGATAGGAAGGCGGGGCCGGCGCGGGGCGGGGCT